TCTTATTGTGCCGAAGCCAGGGCCGGAGTTGTTTCGTTTTACTGTGGACTTACGCCCAGTTAATGCTCAGACCGAACCTGCAGTTTGGCCAATGCCCAACATAGAAAGCGCGTTGTCCCAGATTTCTGGAGCCACATATTTCGCGTTTCTGGATTTCTGTCATGGGTATTGGCAGCTGCCTCTCGATCGAGCCTCTCAGGAATTCCAGAGCTTCATTTGTTCTGATGGTGTCTACTCCCCTACGCGTGTGTTGCATGGGCAAACCAACGCTCTGGCGTATTATCAAAGCAGCATCCACGCTTTGTGCACGCCTTTGCGAGAGTTTTTGTTGCAATGGCTCGACGACATACTCGCACATTCAAGCTCACCCGGTGAGCTTATCTCACTGTTAGCTCCCTTCTTCGCGATCTGCCGACAGTACGGCCTGAAGCTGCATTCCCGCAAGTGTCGTTTGTTTTTACGTGAGGTGAACTGGTGCGGCCGACTTCCTTCCAAGGACGGTATTTGTTTAGACCCGCATCGTTTATCCGCACTACTCGAAATCACAGAACCTTCTACCGGTGCCGATCTGCAGCAATACGTCTGTGCGGCGAATTGGATGCGTTCCGCCATCCCTACGTTCAACGAGTTAATTGAACCTCTTTATTCCTTGCTGGAGGAGGTGTACAGCAAGACGGGCGAGCGGACTCGCAAATCTGTCTCTCGCATTTCTCACTCCTCCACTTCGTGGGGTGCTGCCCACCGCGCATGCTTTAATGCTGTGAAGGAAGCCCTGCACCATGCCGCAACCCTGGCCCATCCAGATGAAAGAAAACTTTTATGCCTCTTTACGGACTCGGAAAAAGCGCCTGTCACTGCTTGCGCTGGTCTCCCTGCCGATAACCCGCTCTTTACGCTTCTACCTTCTCAAACCGCCGAACCGTCAACATTGGCGTTTATCAAGTCTCAGCGGTTGATGCGAATTGACTACATGATCCAATCCCTTGACATCCATCAGCGAGATGTTTCGGAGAGTCGCACACGGAAGCACCAGAACGAGCTCGATCGCCACAACAAACGTGCAGGTATTCGTCAGGCCAATTTTGAGGTCGGCGATTTCGTTCTCGTGGCTGATCGTGAATCACACTCAGGAAGCAAACTCGCCGTCAAGTAGACGGGCCCGTGCCCTGTCACTCGCTGTGATTCTCAGCTTGTCTTTGAGGTTGAGGACCTCCTGAATGAAACTCGTTCTTTGGTACACGCTAATAGGCTTAAGTTTTACGCAGATTCCCAACTCGCTATCACGGAAACGCTTCTAGATACCATCGACCACAACGAGACGCATTACAATACAGTGATCAAGCTTCTTGGTTTGCAATGCAACCAAGACCGCAAGCAGTTTGTAGTTCAGTGCGCGTGGCGTGGCTTCGCGCAGGAGGAGCCTACTTGGGAACCCTTTCAGCATATGCGGGAAGACATTCCGAAAATGCTGGATAAGTTCCTTCAAGGCCATTCTAATCAGAAACTTGTGGACGCAGCTCGAGCAAGCTGACCTGCTCCTTTGGAGAGCGGATTGTGGCATCTCGGTTCCATCTGGTTCCATTTCGGATATCATCCCTTTCTGGTGCTATTTGGTTCTATTTCGGATAGCATCCCTTTCTGGATACTCCCTTTTACTTATGACCGTTTTTAGAGTTCTTCCTTTTATGGCATCTTTGCCTCTGTCTCACGTTTAGCCAAGGCTTTGTAGTATCTGTTATGCCAGCATTTAAGTTGACTCACTACACCCAATCACGGCAATTAGATTGGGTGACTAATTTAGGCTGGGTGCGAAAATAAAATAGCCCATGTTATTTTATGACTGAGGGTGTCAAAAAGCCGTTTACAGTATCGGGTGGAACGGACTGGGAAAAATGAAGAACTACTGTACGCAACACGACGGCGGTCCCGTCTCGCCCTGATCTAGTCCCCGACAACTCCCGCAGTGCCTTCACACCTGAGCGGCCCTATTCAGCGCTCTCTTGCCCGCGCGCTCGCGTCTCGTCCCACAACAAGCCGCAACCCCCCTCTTAGTACCGACACACCTCCAACCCAGTTGCATATTACTGACAATTATCCCGCACAGCCCCACAACTCAGTTCGTCGCAACATCCTCGTTAGTACTCTCGCGCAACGATATCACGCAACTTCTTGGATGATAGCAGAGGCTGCTGAGAGTGGCCCACGGCATATCATTTCAAAATGCGTCCGACGGTGCCCAGAATTATTTGCAGGAAACGACAAGGCAAAATTGGCAAAAGCAAGCAGATGGTGGAAGCTTCGAGACGAAACCATGGCTCTCAGAAGCGAGGGTAGAAGAGGAGGCAACATCTCTTCACTCACGAGAGGAGGCATTCGCCGAGCGCAGTTCAAAGCACAAAAGGGACGCGGGAGAAAGAGAGCCAATTGGGTACGTGCTCTGTTTAGGGACTTAAGTTCGGAGTTCGAGCGGCTCAGATCTGCTGGTATCAAGTTCAGTGCTTCTGTTCTTCGTGATCACGCTGTTCTGATGATAGCTGAAGCCGCGATAGGATCCCCGTATCACAAGTCGCTTCATCAAAATGGTGTTTTACTGGAGAACAAGATTACCATTCGCTGGATACAACACTTTATGCGTGCTAAAAACATTGTTGTTCGCAGACAGACCGGAAAATTATTGCTGAGTCCAGAAAAAGAAGTTCTGCTAGAGAAGACAGTCGCTTATCACATGGGAGAGTTTCAACGCGGATTTGAATCAGGGTTGCTAAACGAGGACAATATTGAAAACGCAGATGAGACGCACTTCGTTTTTAATATGGACAACGGAAAGACACTAGGGTTCGTTGGTGACAAACATGTCCAATATGCCGACGTGGTCTCAGGGGGTGATCCAATAACGATGATGGTTCGCCTTTCAGGCGGACGCCATGCACAAATTTATCCGCCTATGATAATATTTAAAAATCAGAATGGCTTGCATCCTATTCGTGGTGTGCCGGATGACGTACCCGGCATGTGCTATCGTTCGTCACCTAAAGGATAGATGGATGGCCTAGTGTGGCATGATTGGCTCTGCGAACCACGCGCCATCTCAGCACTTCCGAGTGATCGACAAAGAGTCTTGTATGTGGATAATTGTTCGTCGCACTCCGAAGGACCACATGCTGCTGAATGTCTACGCGAGATAGAGACCCGATGCAGAAGCTGCCTCCAAATTCAACACATTTAACTCAGCCCGCCGACTCGTTCATAATTCAGAAGATTAAAGAAGTTTGGAGAAGACAGTGGGATAAATATAAATACTAATGCATACAGGAAGGACTCTGGAAGAATACCAGCAATGGAAAGGGCAGTGGAAAGCTTCTAAATCCTGGAAAAGGGGGTTTTTGCGACCGGCTGCCGATTCTGTAAGGGAAGTTAACGCAATGAGGGACAAGAAAGGTGTTTCTTATGCAAGGAAAGCAATGATACGGACAGGCATGTCTTTAAATGTGAATGGACTGTGGGAGGAAGGTCAGCTCACTGATGATTTACAGCAGATAATCGCGAAGCATAGAGTCCATTTTGAGGGAGAGCCTGTTTTTATTGACAGTGCGGATGTTGAAACAGAGTCCGAGAGCGAATAACATTTCTTCTTGCTGCTTTAAATCAAGTGCAAGGTTGCAGCCTCCGCCCCGGAGCGGGAGAGGAAGTGGAGCGCGGTGGCGGACGAGAGAGACAGGAGGACCGGGAGGAGGAGGAGGGTGGAGGGCAACGAGCGGGACATAGGAGTTGGGGAGCAGGCGCGCGGGGGGTGGTAGGGGGTTGGGGGAGGAAGCGGGGCTTCGCCAAAAAGACGTGTGCCGCGCTGCCCACGCGGGTGAACCCATGGTAAAATAGTACATACAAAATTGACTTGGCCTTCTTTATTTGCGCCATACACTATATTAATCTAGGTGCAGATTTGTTTTGGGCCACGATATATTGGGTTTAGAGGTTCTGTATGAGCAGTTCTAAATTAACTTGGCCCATTCTAACTGCGGTGATTGGTGTACTCACTAAACAGAGAGTCAGAGGACTACACTCTCGACTATCTTTTCTTCTTGCAGAAGCCAAAGGCTTGTCCCAAGAGGAACTTGTGTACAAGCATCACCGAATGGCCAGTGTTCTCTGCGATAGACAAGGAAGCTTCGCGACACGAGGACATATAGTGTTGCATAATGGGCAGGCTATGAGGATGAGCAGCTACTGTTCTATGGTGTTAGGGGCTGAGGATGGATGCGTTTCACGGACAATGTACGTGAACAGCGTGCGTTACACAAGGGAACGGGTCGTCGAGTCGCAGACAGAGGGACTTTTGTTTACGGTATTCGCAGCGCGATTTGACTCCCGTGTGGAAGAAGCTGTTCTTGGGATGGCGCTGCGTCTTGGTATGTGAAGCTGGAAACATTGGAAGCGGGTGTATGCAGAATTGCGGTGGCGAAATATCCCTGACAGGCTGGTGAGGTCGTTCGTTCATTGTTGCTGCTTGCATTGTTGCCGGTATAGGTTAGGTCAAAGTTTGGGCGAGGCGACATTCTACCGCACGGTAAATTGGGTGCATATCATACTAATTGGTTTCATACGTGATGAACCAGAGAGGGGTGCCCCACCTTGCTGGCATCATGTAGCCAATCAGATGACGGGGGCCCCACCACGTCGATTGCAGCTCATTTTGGGGGGGGCGCCCAACTTTGGCCCAACAGAAAAGTTTGCTATAGCGGCATTACAGTACTGCGATCTGGTTAGTCCAACTTGTCCATACTAAAGTTCAAAATAAATGGCGCAGAAGCGTCCGCGTGCCACGGAGCTTACCCTCGACAATCCCCCTCGTAGTTGCCCCATCTTGGGGGGTAAACCCGCACACCACAAGCAGCACCCCTCACCCCCCTCACCCCCCAAAAAAACACCGAAAATAAGCTACTACAGTGGCCACTACAGTCCCCCAGTAGTCACATGCAGTATTTGCAGTACTTTTCAAATAGAAGCCGCCCGACGCCGTTCCAAATTTCCGACCACCACGCCCCTACCCCGCACTACCCAGAAGTGTCATGAGAGCCATGCGTGCACACGTAGCACACGCATGACACCGCAATTAGATAATCTTTATTCACCGCCGCCTCACTGATCCCTCCCATTCCCTTATAACGTAGAGACACGATAGGCATCAGTAAACGGAGGCATCGATCTTGCACCACAAGGGGTACCGCACGACCGCACCATCCCCCCGTCCCCCTCCACCCCCTCTACCTCTACCCTCCACCCCCCTCTACCACGCCACGTCGCCACCCCGGACCATCCTGC